ATGAATGTTTGTACGTTATTTTGTATTGAAAAGGCGTAGTGACATGTCTTGCTTCATGTCGCCGTTTCAGTGCGTTCTGCATACATTCAAAAAATCACCAAAAGTTCCTCTCCCCCCCCCCACCCCACCCCACCCCACACAAAACCCTCAGCACCCCCCCAAACCGCCGTACCCGCACCTAACCCCCACTCACCCGCGCCCCCCGGTGCCTTAGCTCCCGGCACTGGGTATGTCGTACAGCAGGCAGGGTGGTACTCCAGCCTCTTTTGGAAGGTGATTTGCCCCGAGGAACTCAGTACGAACAAATTGTGCTCCCCGAGTACGACAATATCCGCCTGGTGGGCTGCCCGTACGTGGGGAGTGGGGGGTTGGCGAGTGTATGTGTGTACGTGTGTGTATGGAAGGAAAGTGGTGTTTCGAAAGGTGTTTGACCCTCAGAAGAATGTTGGGTTGCGTGCGTGTGTGTGTGTGTGTGTGTGTGTGTATGTTGGGTATATGTGTATGTGACGAGAGCCGATGAGGTGGCCTACTTGCCGAATGCCAAGCAGTGGCAGCAGCAGCAGCAGGAAGCGAGGTTGGGGGAGGGGTTGCATTGAGCGGGGGAAGACGTTGCCCCGGCGCCCGTTCATTACTTGGAAAAGGAAGGCGCAGAAAAACAAGCAGCAGGGACGAATGCAGCACAGCGCTGTGCAGGCATGGAAAGACATTCCCCTCCGCTGTGTATACACTTGTGTATGTGTGTACGTATGTATGTACGTGTCCTCTCCAGGCGGGCGAGCGGCCCCCCGCCGTCCAACCAATAAGGCCCCCGCCCCTACTGCTGCCGCTGCTCCGCCAGTGGGAAATCTCACTCGTTTCGCAATCTAGCTAGCTATGGCCATGTCGCTGCCATGACTACTATCCAAGTCACTATTAATCAGTACTAACTTGTTGCAAACATTCCTGATGCAGCATCTGTCTGTCTGTCTGTCTAATTTAATCTAATCCTGTGATACTCCTATCCGCCTATCTCTGGTGTCGGCATCACTCGTCTGTGGTTCGTCTTTCCCCCTCCCTTTCCTTCCCTTTCCCCAATACAGAGATTGTCTAGTGTAAATTTAGTCCCCCTTTCCCCCCCCCCCCAAAAAAACACACTCACGACTGAGTCCCTGGGAAAATCTTCCCACTCGTATGTCGATAGCCGCCTCCCCGAGCACCACCCGCCAGTCAGCCTGGGTGCAAGAAGTATAGGTGTAAGGGAGGTAAGGGAGGAGAGGGGGGGAGGGAGAGAGGCTGGTAGTGGTTGGAGGGGGGTGCGGGGGGTGCGGGAGATGGAGATGGAGACACAGAAACCCCCCCGGGCCCTCCGGCCTCTCTCCCACTCATCACAGCCAGGCAGGCAGGCAGGCAGGCAGGCAAGCGCGAGGTGCTGTGTAGGCATATGAGTGGGCAGGGCTCATAGGTCCCCCAGACATGGAACACATACACACACATGCATGCATGATGTAAATGCAGTACACACCTGCGGAGATAGAGTCCCTATTCCCCTTCCTGATCACCCCCCCACCTGAACCATTCTATCCATCCCCCAAACAGCCCCTTTGAATCCCTCCCCCCTTTGAGTCCCCCCCCGAGCGCAAAGCAGAGCGG